TTCGACAATAGGGTTGTGCAATAAATCAACCACCATACCGCCCAATATTACACATTCTGAGGTTGAATGGCTGAGATCTTTACACAGAGTGACTGAAAAAGAGCAAAACAAGCATGAAATTGAAGTGGCTGCCGCCACAGCCGCGGTCGCAGACACAGCCATGGCCGTCGCCCAGGCGGCAGTTGCTGTCGTGAGGTTTACTGCCAGTCAGGGTAAAAGCAGCCGTGAAATACGAGCTGCTATCAAGATTCAAACTGTGTTTCGAGGATACCTAGTAAGTAGTTAATTTGATATCAGTGTGTAGATGACATGATTTAAATAAATACATCATTCTGTCTGTTTTAGCGAAATGAATTTGCTTGTAGATACGAAAAACAGGCAAGAAAAGCGCTAAGGGCATTGCGAGGATTGGTGAGACTACAAGCACTAGTGAGAGGCTATTTTGTGCGTAAGCGGGCCGCGGCCACCTTTCATTGCATGCGGGCTCTTATAAGAGCACAAACAAATGTCTTGGCCCGAAAGACTCATCAATTCAACACTCAACTCAATGCTCGAAAATCCGTGGTCAGTCCATGAATTTCAAATTCATCACAACTAAAACTTATAATCTTGATTGAGAAATTTGAGAACAATTATATAAAGTGTAATCTTTCCTCTAGCAGGATAAGTTTGTTAGTACAGGAAATGAGCACAAAATGTCAATCCACAGCAGAAGGTTTTCTGCCTCATATGAAAGCCCGAAAATTGTGGGGGTTGATACAGGGCGGACTAGATCAAGATCCAGAAGAACTAACACATGGATGCCGGGTTCCAACGACGACTTATTGGGCCAATCAATGTCATCTCCACTTCCGGACAGATTCCCAATAAGCCGATTGATGCCGGACTCGAGGAATATCCGGGGCGTAACTGGAATCGAATGCCAAGGTTTTTTCACAACACAAGTCCGGGCTACTCCAAGGTTTGCCAATTCTGGTGGGTGTGATGGATCAATTACCCCTGCAAGAAGTTTTTGTGTAGAGAGCTATTTCAGGAACACTGTAAACTACCAAAATTATGTGGCTAATACACACTCATTCGAAGCTAAGTTGAGATCCCAAAGTGCCCCAAAGCAAAGGCCCGACCCCAGCCCTAAAAGGGGACTGTCCCACAAAGAAATTAAGGAATCAAGAAACAGTCTTGATGGTGTCAGAATGCGGAGGTCCAAAGAAGCCCCAAAAATGCCATCAATTTCTACAAAGTTTTGATGGGAAATTTTGGTATAATTTCATTTAGATTATATTACATGAAAAAGAAAAAGAAAAAAATTCTTAAACCGGGCATTTCGCTTAATTCTGTAATAATTATTTTAGCTGATACGATCTACTGATCTTGTATTTGTTTGAACTTTATTCATTTATTTTTGTATGAAGTGTGGCATGTCTAAGCCTAAAAAAAATAATATTCAAAATCCAACCCAGTTTGTGTAAGTTCTACGATTTATTTTTATTTTTTTGACAGCAGACTATGGAATGAAATATTGAGCTGAGCTCACTCTGCATTTAAAGGTCGTCAACAATTCTTTTTATTCACATGTTTAGCTCTAGCAAGTACGGCTATTCAAAATATAAACGATTCAAATCTTTTAACACTATAGTGGAACCAAACTATCATGAGCTCCTTTTTTGAGTTGACAGCTAGAAAATGATTAGTAAAGAAGTATTCTTACGATGATAAACTCATAGAAGAGTGATATGTTTAATATATCTTTATTGACCAATTTGATATGCATATACACAACTAAAACTAAACTACTTCCCTTCGAATGATGAATCCCTTAATTCTTAATTTAAGAATTAAAGTGGGGTGTGCAGTGGGGTTATTGCGGCGCGAGCTTAGCATGTTCTAGCTTCTCTATTGTCTTGTTGATCAACCAAGCTAGCTTCATTCAGTCGGGACCTAAAAGATCGAATGGAACAATACATAGACAAGTAAATCCCTTATGAATTCCTGGAAATTAGGAGGCGTTGAAAACAAAGAAATTGTTGGAGTTCTCATTTCTATCTAGTCCCAACACGCTTGATGTTAAGAAAAGATCTCTTGCAGGAAGGTTCGGGTATCTAGTAAATGGAACCGTCGGGTCCAAATATAATTGTGGAACCGTTCGGGTTCGGTTCTGTACTATAATTAAATTTTTTAACATTTATAACAACATTATATAAATACAACTAATGATACATTCAATGATTTTGGAATGACAGAGATTAGTAAACTACCTTGTTCAAATGATCGTTATGATCAAAGTTTCGGTTGGCGAATGTCACAGCTTCGATCGGAGGTCACAGTGTCGACCAATAATTGTATAGGTTTTGGAATATTAGCGAGGCTGCGAGAGTCGAGACAACGTTATGCACTTTGATGTTGGTGTTTAGGGTTATTTAGTGGATTTGATCTTGCTTGGCTAAGAAATGAAACAATAAAATGGGTAATTGGGCAAAAAATTAAAAAAATTAGAAATGAAACAAATTATTGGGCCAAAAATTTGGATTTAGAAATCGTTAATTTGTTAATTTGTTTAGAAAAAATTAAAATAATTTGATTTACTCAATATAAAAAAAATAAAATTAGAAAGATTCGGTTCTTATTCGGTTCTTCGGTTCTAGGTCTAGAACCGAGAACCGAACCGTACCCGTCGGTTCTCAATTCAGATACCCGTTTGGGTATTTAATTTGACAAGAACCGTCGGGTTCGGTTAGGTTCGGTTCGGTCGGTTCGGTTCGGGAGATTTGCCCAGTCCTAATTGTGGTAAAGAAATGTTAATATAAAGGAAAGAATATAATATCTTAATCAATTAAGCCAATCAATATATAATCAAATACTTCTTATGCTAGTTTAGAAAAAGGAACATCAAATACTTCTTTAGGTTTTTATTGGGACTTTAGTTTGATCATGTAAATTAACCTTGACTGCACAATTCAAGCTCGCTCACTAGTCACCATAAAGATCAAGAAATAATAAGAAAAGAATATCATTAGAAAGAAGGATTTTGAGTGGATCGATAACCACAATAAATAAGGTGTAAATTTAAGACTCGAAGGGTCGGCCCATGCTCTGCAAAAAAATCTATCCATATGGAACAAAAAAAAAAAAAAAAAACTTCGGGAGAAAGAGCCGAGGACCTAGATTAGTTCATGTTTTTCTCATGATGACTTCCTCCTTCTGTATTTTGAACAAGTATTTTTCATTTTTCACGATCATGTATGGCTGATGTCTCGATCATGACAAACTCAAATAGCTCAACATTAAGATGATTCAATAACTTAACGTTTGGGATACATATTAAACAGGTCAATGCCTAAGATGTATTAATATCTCGACGCCTAAAAATGACTTAATAGCTCAATGCCTAGATTAAATATCTCGATGCCTAGGGTGAATTGACAACTCGACGCCTAGATTAAATATCTGGACGCCTAGGGTGATTTGACAACTTGACGCCTAGATTAATTAAATATCTCGACGCCTAGATGAAGTTTTAGCCTTGACGTATGTATTAGTTATCTCGAGGACTCAATTTGAAAAATCATTTATGAACATTGTGTTGATCCCAAGCATCTATGCAAGTGATATATCTCGAGGACTCAATTTGAAAAATCATTTATGAACATTAAGTGTTGATCCCGAGCATGTATGCAAGTTATCTCGAGGACTCAATTTGAAAAATCATTTATGAACATTGTGTTGATCCCGAGCATGTATGCAAGTGATATAATTGTATCGACCTATAGCGTGATTCCTGAGGACAATAATGGCCTTTTTATAAGATCTCTCACACCATTGATTGGGCACTAGTGACCGGGAATGTTATTTGACGTGCTTACGCGGGGCAAGGCTTTCTGTTTGCTTGCGAAGGGCAAGGCTTTTTTATTGTTTGCGCGGGGCAAGGCTTTTTGTTTACTTACGAGGGGCAAGGCTTTTTGATTGCTTGCGTGGGGCAAGACTTTTTGATTGCTTGCACTAGGCAAGGCTTTTTGTTTACTTGCGCGGGGTAAGGCTTTTTTGATTGCTTGCGCGGGGCAAGACTTTTTGTAGCTAGATCATATTTTAACGAATAGCTTAATTCTTATTATACTTTTTAAAAATAGACTTGCCACGCAGGCCTGACTACCGAAAACGTGATCCTTGGCACGCAGGCCTAACTATCGAAAAATGAAACTTGGCACGCAGGCCTGAGAATTGAAAACGTGAACCTTGACGCGCAGGCCTGAGAACATTGTGTTGATCCTTGGCACGCAAGCCTGACTGCCAAAAAATGAAACTTGGCACGCAGGCCTGAGAATTGAAAACGTGAACTTTGACGCGCAGGCCTGACTACCGATAACTGGAAGACCAAGTTACTTGTAATATATCTTTAAATTCTCGGCGTTCCATGGTCTTGGAAGCGGCCTTCCTGACGTATCCCTTAAACTGTATGCGCCTCCTTGGAGTTGTCGTATGATTTCGAAGGGCCCTTCCCAAACTGGTCCTAGCTTACCCGGGGCATGACCTGCTGTTTCGACCTTTCTTAACACAAGGTCTCCTGCTCTGAATCTCCGCGTCCTCACTTTCTTATTGAAGTACTTTGCTATTTTATCTTGGTAGGAGGCCATTTTTAAAGTTGCCGGATCACAAACTTCTTCCAAGAGGTCGAGGTGTTCAGTGGTGCGCCCTGCTTCTTCGGGCTCGAGCCTCCTTTGGCTGGGCAACCTTACTTCAATAGGAACGATGGCCTCAATACCAAAAGCCAACATGAAGGGGGTTTCCCCTGTAGCAGTTCTGTGTGACATTCTATACGTCCAAAGTATAGAAGGCAACTCATCAGACCAGGAATCTCTTGCATCGCCGATCCTTGTACAGAGGTCTTGCAATATAATCCGATTGGTCACTTCGACAAGACCATTACTTTGAGGATGGAAAATCGACATCAAACGGTGATCAACCCCTAGGTCGGTACAAAAGTTTTTAAATTGTGCCTTGTCAAACTACCTGCCATTATCAGTTATGAGGACTTTCGGTATCCCGAACTTGCATATGATGGATCTCCAAATGAAACTTCTTAACTTCGGCTCTGAAATTGTTGCTAAAGGCTCGACCTCTACCCACTTAGTGAAATACTCTACAGCCACAGCCACAGCCACAAACTTCAATTTTCCCCTACTTATTGGAAAGGGACCAAGGATGTCAATTCCCCACTGCTTAAATGGGGCTGTGCAACTAATGCTATTGAGGTCTTCTGCGGGAGGGTGGATGACATTGCCAAATCTTTGGCACTTGTTGCACTTCTTGACATATTCCTTGGCGTCTTTCTTCATGGTTGGCCAATAATATCCATACCTTATGAGCTTGAAGGCTAATGCCCAAGCTCCTTGATGGTTCCCACATACACCTTCATGAACTTCTTCTAGGGCCTGGGATGATTCGAAAGGCCTAAGGCATCTGAGTTATGGAAGTGTGAGGCTTCCGCGAAATAAAACACCTTCAATCATGCAATACCTCGGAGCTTTGGACTGGATGCTTCTCGCTGCCCGAGGATCTTCTGGAAGGCGGCCATGTTTTATGAAGTCCACTATTGGGTCCATCCATGATGGCTCATTATCAATATCCATAACGCCTATGGTCTGATTGATGCTTGGCTCGGTTACAATTCTGACGTGGACTGTCCTGTCAAGCCCATCTATTTCCATAAACACCAATCTTGACAAGGCATCGGCCCTACAATTCTCAGCCCGAGAATTTTTTACAATTTCATAACTCTTGAACTTTCTGTAGAGAGCATGCACTTTCAAGCAGTATAAGCTCATCTTCTCATCCTTTCTATTGAACGTCCCTTTGATTTGTTCAACCACCAACTGGGAATCACTATAAATTTTGATAATTTCAAGCTCGAGATTTATGGCGAGTTCCATGGCTATGATGACGGCCTCATACTCTGCTTCATTATTGGTCGCCTCAAATTCGAACCTTAGTGCACACTGAATGTTTATGAGCATGTTCGGGCTTATGATTATGACTCCTGCGCCCAAGCCCGAGGAGTTTGATGCTCCATCTACGAAAATTTCCCACATAGATATGCTCGAGCTCGAGCTACTATCTGGCCCCCAAGGCCTTGGGGTGAGTTCTGCAATGAAGTCAGCTATGGCCTGAGCTTTGATAGATGGTCGGGGCTTGAACTCTATGTCAAATTCTTTGAGTTCAATTTCCCACCTCAGTAATCTTCCTGAGACGTCTGGTTTCTGAAGAATATTTTTTAGAGGCTGATTGGTGAGCACAACAATAGGATGTGATTGAAAATATTGCCGAAGCTTTCATGCTATTACTATCAGTGCAAGGGCAAGTCGTTATGCTAAAGTATATCTTGTTTCTGCATCAAGTAGGACTTTGCTTACGTAATAAATGGGTTGCTGGCCCCTGTTAACCTCTTTCACCAAGACACCACTCACTGCATTCTGAGATACGGCTAAGTACAAATACAGAGTTTCTCCGGGCTCGGGTTTGGTGAGGATAGGGGGAGATTCCAATATCTGTTTGGGCTCCTGAAAAGTTTTCTCACACTCCTCATTCCATTCAAAGCAATGATTACCCCTGAGGGCTTTGAAGAAGGAGAAGCACATGTCCGCTGCTCGGGACATGAACCTATTTAAGGCGGCTACCCTGCCTGTCAACTTTTGAACCTCTTTCTTGGTCCTTGGTGATTCTATTGCTGCCAAAGCCTAAATTTTGTTGGGGTTAGCCTCAATGCCTCGATGAGTGATCATGAAACCTAGAAACTTTCCTGAAGCTACGCCAAATACACACTTCTCTGGGTTGAGCTTCATCTTATATTTTCGTAGGGTGGCGAACACCTCCTCAAGGTCGAATATATGTTCCTTCACCTTCTTACTTTTTACAACCATGTCATCAACATAGGCCTCGATGTTCTTCCCTATCAAATCGACGAAGACTTTGTTGATGAGCCTCTGATATGTTGCCCCAGCATTTTTCAATCTAAATGGCATTACCCTATAGCAATATATGGCTGAATCAGCCATGAATGAGGTTTTCTCTTGGTCTTCTTTGGCCATGAGGATTTGATGATATCCTGAGAATGCGTCTAAGAAGCTGTACAGCTTATGTCCGGATGTGCTATCCACAAGATTATCGATCCTAGGTAGCGGGTAGCTTTCCTTCGAGCATGCCTTATTCAGATCTGTGAAGTCAATGCAGACCCTCCACTTACCGCTGGGCTTTTTCACCAGAACAACATTAGCGAGCCAATCGGGGTATTGGACTTCCTTTATGAACCCCGCTCCCAACAATTTGCCGACTTCTTCCTGAATGACCACAAGTCTTTCCGGCGCAAACTGTCTCTTCCTTTGCTTAACAGGTTTGGCCCCTGGGCTGATATTAAGTTTATGGACAGCTACTTCTGGGTCTATCCCTGGCATATCCCCCACCTTCCATGCAAAAACATCAATGTTGCGGGACAGACAACTGATGACCTCCTCCCGGAGGTTGGCCTTCATATCCCGACCAATAGTAATGGCTTTTCCATGGTCGACCTCGACCACTTCCAATTCCTCAACGGGGGCCAATCTATCCCTTGGCTCGAGCTCGAGCTCGAGCTCTATGAGTTGCATGACATCAGCACTCATGCCTCGGATGCTTGTAACATAGCACTGTCTAGCCACCGTTTGGTCTCCTCGAACTACTCCGATGCCATGACCTGTGGGGAACTTCATGGCGAGGTGGAAAGTTGACATAATAGCCTGGATCTTATTCAGTAGGGGTCTTCCCAGAATGATGTTGTAGACCATTAGGGTGTTAACCACTTGGAATGGTGTGATCTCCGTTACTTGTGTACTACAAGCTCCTAATGTAAGCGGGAGCTCGACGATGCCTTCAGGGATAATGATTCCACACCAAATCCTTGTAGGTGGGTTTTTACTACTTTGAGCTATTTGGGAGAGATTCCCATTTTGGTGAAAGCCTCCTGCGACAATATGTTCGCAACACTCCCATTATCAACCAGAATCCTCCTTACTTCGAAGTTAGCCACAGCCGCAGAAACGACCAAGGCATCGTCATGAGGTTATGATATCCCTTCCAAATCTCTTGTGCCAAAAGTGATGTCTCTAACTTCATCACGGATTCTCTTGGGGTATGAGCATATTGGCGGGCATACTGCTTTCGCCCACTACTTGTGTCTCCGTCGAACTCTATACCCCCGACGATAATATTAATGGTTCCAGCAGTGGGTTAGCACTGCTTCCAGCCCCAGGCTCTTTTCGATTGTCACGGTCATTCCTTGGCCGTTTATCATGACCAATGTAATTCTTTAAAAATCTTCTTTTGATAAGGCCTTCAATTTCTTGCTGTAAAGCATGACAATCCTTTGTAGTATGTCCATGATCCCGGTGAAATTCGCAATACTTGCTCCTATCTCTTGTGTCAGGGGGTGACTTCATCCTTGAAGGCCACTTTAATTCTTTCATATCCTTAACCTCCATCAAAATGTTTGCCTTAGAGGTGTTCAACCGAGTAAGAGGTGCTGATGGTGCCTCGTTCCTGCGCTTATCCCGGGGAAACTCATGTCGGGAAATGGGATCATGTTTCCTTTTGTTCTCGGTCTTTTCATGGAAAGGATTAGGTCTCCTTGGATTTAGTGTTTCGTCCATATTAATGTATTTTTCAGCTCGAGTGAGGAGCTCGATCACTATCTGCGGCGGGGTCTTTGATAAAGACATCTTGAAAGCTTCACATCTTACTGCGTAAGTGAGGACGGAGACAGCTGCTGTGATGTGGAGGTCGAGTATTTGAAGCCTTTCCTTGTTGAACCTTGTCATAAATCCTCGCAGGGTTTCGGTTGGTCCCTGGCGAAGTTGCATGAGAGAGGCCGCGATCTTCCTGATTCGCTTGCTACTTGCAAAGAAGGCTGAGAACTTATCAGCCAAATCTGAGAATGAGGCTATGGAGTTGGGCTCCAATGTCAAGAACCAATCCCTAGCAGCATTAGTCAGCGTTTGTGGAAAGGCTTTGCACATAACCTGATCCGGTGCAACTTGTAAGTTCATGACATCAGTGTATACATTGAGATGGTTGATGGGGTCGGTCGTCCCATCATACTCTTTAATGCGAGGATATTTGAATCTGTCAGGCAAGGGATATGTCAATATCTCTGGCGTGAATGGAGTGTTAGGGATGAAGCCTGTTGCCCCCGAGCATTACGTTGCAGGCCAGCTGTAATTCCTTCTTGAATGATTCGGGCAATTTCACCGGAATCCATGGCGACCGATCTCGAGCCCGAGGCCATATTATGAATACCCGAGGTTCTAACTCCGCCATTTGCTAGGTTTGGTGGTCTTGCTTGAGCATCGGCCATAAAACCGCCATGCTCCACATGTGCTGGCGACGGATGTGAATTTCTTTGACTTAACAGTTGCGTGAGCATGGCCACCTGCTGACGCAACTCTTCAAAGGCTTCGATTGTAATGACTACTGGCGGAGGTATGGGCACTCCCGAGGATTCTTCATGAGGAGCCGGTTGATCTTCGGCAGGATGAGGGATGGGAGCGGATGAGCTTGCAGGAGGAAGACCTGATCGCGTATTAACCATGGCTTTTGGTAGAGTTTCCCACAGACGGCGCCAATGAGGCTACCAAAAATCGTACCTGCAGATTTCCAAAAATATATGCACAGGTTAAAAAAAAAGGGGGGGTCCCTTGTCAAGGTATTCTAGAATTGAAATCTCAATCAGATCAATCAAGTACCACTAAAACCACAAGAACAAGCACACGTCGACCGAATGAGGCCTCCTTGTCTGCTCCAAGTAATTTCCCAATGCATTCGGCTCGAGCAAATCAGATAAACTCATTTTTTATCTGTTTCTTTGTGTCATTCAATGTATATGGCTTTACAGTTTCTCACAAGAAGTTAAATTTCTGTTTTGATTTCACATTATTCCCTTATACAAATATTGGGTATTCCTTTGAATTTTATTATTTTCCTGACTGAAATTTTTGATAGCCATGAAATCTCAGTGGCGTCAATTATTGATGTATCCTCCTTTTTTTCGATAGGATATGAATTAAAGTCGTATACAAGCAAAATGTTAAAGCAAATGCTGGCATGTTGCAAGGTGTACATATCTGAAAGCCGAAATAGGGCTGCATTGGAGTCAATTGAAAGGGCAGCCAAGCTTTTTCCAGAGGCTCCAATTGTCAACAAATTTGAAGACGAAACTTATAATAGAGTTGGGTACACCCTTGTGTCCAAATTGGTTCCATGTTGTACCCTCAAGAGTGTCGTTCTTGAAATGGTGAAAGCTGCTTTTGAATCCATTGACCTTGAAATGCACATTGGGACTCATCCTAGGCTTGGTGTTGTGGACCACATTTGTTTCCATCCCTTGGTTGGTGCTTCTTTGGATGATGTTGCAGGGACTGCAAAATCTCTGGCTGCTGATGTTGGCTCAAGGCTTCAAGGTTTGTTCTCTTGAAACTGAGATTTTGAAGTTTTACTCAGTTGGACTAATTTCATTTAATGTGTTAAGATTATATTATTGTTCGTTTTTCATGAGGTGTCAAGAGGAATCTATAATGAGTTCTACAGAAGTTGAACATGAAGATGTGATGTGCATGGAAAATTAATTCGGGAATTTCGTTGGCTGTTAACTACTTGTATTGAGCATCCATAAAAAACACGGCTTTATGCATACTAGGGTGACCTTATTATCGACCCTGTAGCACCTAAATTGAAGGTTACTCCTCTTTCTTTTCAAACCAATTTGTCCACAACTTTATCCCTCCTGGTTTGATGAGATCAATTTATCAGGATCATGTACCTTTCATGATAAGTATATTATGGCATTGTTTCCAATAAAGCTTCGGAATAAGAGATCTTTACTTGGTTCTTTGATCATTTGCTCAAGTGCTTGTATGTATGTGCTTGTATTTGAGGCGGTGGGGATTTGAGTTCTGGAACTTGTTTTGCAATGAAGTGACTTGTAATATCAGAATAGGCATATCCTTTTTCAATTGTTAAACATTCATATCCCTGAGGATTAAGCGAAACACAATATTATCCTCTCTCTCTATCGGATTTGTTAATGATTTTAAACATAGCTTGTGCATAGAAATTAATTTGGGAATTTCATTTGGCTGTGATTAAAATGAGTTCCAAGAAATTGTCCAAATGGTCTTCTTCCATCATTTTTGCTTTACTGCAGAAGAGGAATCTGAATCACTAATTCAATTGGTTTTTCAGATATGGTAATTTGGAGAGTTCTTCGTAACCTATGGCCCAAGCTTTTCTCAAGTTGGGCCACGGGCCGCCAGAACCGACGAGCCAAATTTACATCCCTATACAAGGGTGTTTTTGGATTTTCCCTAAAATCTTGTACAGATATATATATATATATATACATATACATAAATATATAATATAATATAATAAAATAAAATAAAAATATAGCCACCTCGCTCTTGCGGACGTATGTCCATTGCCAATTATGAATTAAAGTTCCTATTTATACTAGAAATATAAAACCTAATTTTAAAAGGAATGAAATACTAGGAAATAATTTAAAAACGTACTAAATCTCCTAAATTATGGAAATTACCAAAGAGAATAGAATCCTAGATAAAATAGAAGATCTCGCGAATATGGAAAAATTCTATCTGGGAAAACAGTGGTGCGACCGCATGGGCAAAACTGGTAAGGTCGCATGGTTCTGCCGGATGCTGCTCCATTAGGCTCGGACCCCTTTTGTGCGGCTACATGGCTGGGAAGCTGTGCGAACATGTTTTGCCTCCTTTTTTTTCAGTTGTTCAACCAACTCATTCTAAATCTTTTCGGCTCCTAATCCCAACTTCAATCTTGAACTTTGGCTCGTTGACTTCATCAATTTCTCAAAATTTCTACCCACCCCCTCTCTTTTTGAAAGGATTCGACCTCGAATCTGAACCCTTATTGCCCAGAATATAACCCTTGTCCCCAATCAACTTAAGCACGTGACATGGTCCGTCACCTCGAGGATGAAACTTAGACCTCCTTTGAACCCGAATCCATCTCTTGCATATGTAAATCCAAACTCCTAGACATAGATCAAAGTGTACTTGCCTTGGCTTCTTCTTGCAAGTATATGATCATCCAAGAATAATTTCAGCTGATAGATCACAATGCATGTTCCTTGATTTATTCGGCCTAGGCAATTGTAGTAATGACACTTCAAATGGCTTCATTTTTCCCTTCAGATCAATGTCTTCATTCAACCCCTTGCATATGAGCTCTTGGCAAATAAATTCCTTCCATTGCTTTTGAAATTCCTTCGTCTCCTCAAGGATAACAAAATCAATTTCTGGCAAATAAGATATCTCCAAAGAAAGATGTTGCTGAATGTTATCCACCAATTGATGCTTAATACTCGTCTTGTGAAGGATTCCAATTGCATTAATTTTTGGAATCGAATCTTCGTTGACATGCAAAATAGAATTAGCTAAAATAGGGAGGGAAATGTTAGTTTTCTCCATCACCCCTCAACTTCACACTCCTGTTCATTTAAGCTTACTTCCAATACTTCTTTTATCTCCGAAGACTCTTCCTCCTTCTCATCTTGTAACTCCAATTCCATTCTAGTCTCTCGACTTTCTTTTCACTTTCTCATGGCTCTTCTTCCTTTCTCTCACAACTAACCACCTCAATATTTTCTCTCCTTTGCACTTTCATGTGATTGATTGGTGATTTAACCTTGTCACAAAGCCCTGATGATTCTAATTTGAATTCCCAACTCGCCAACTCACTTGATGTACTACGCACATGCTTCGTCGATCACGTCAATCACTCCTATAAGACCTCATGGAAATCTCCCTAAATTCCCGCTCATGTCGATCACTCCTATAATAATAATTAGGTGCATAACGTCTCCTCATAATTGTCCTCAACTCATCCCACTTCTCAATCGGCCTCTCACCATACCTTCGTCTAGATGTTTTCAACTTATCCCACCAAATTAAAGTATAATCCACGAATGAGCCAACTCCTAACTTCAACTCTTTCTCCTTGGAATAATTATAGCATCCAAACATTAATTCTACATTTTCCTTCCATGCCATGTATGCCTCGGGATCTTTCCTACCCTTAAATTGTGGAAGTGATAATTTGCTATTTCCCATATTCTTTCCAACTCCATACCCAACATAATTTCTATCACATTCTCCAAGCCTATCGCCTCTATTTTTCATTCCTCGAAAATCAACATCAATGCCACCACCATCATCATATGCGTTACGAATTTCAATCCTACGCTCCCAACTATCCCGCTTTCGCACATTAGACATTTCATCACATTGATCCCCATGAATATTTTTCAGTTTCATGTCAACCTCGTCTAACTTATTCCCCATGTTCTCAAACATCCTTTCAAACCTCTTCATCATCTTTTTCGACATGTTGTATGAATTTGACATTTTTTTGACTTCTTTTTTTTGACACTTTTTTTACTCAAATTTTTTTAACAGTATCGTACGTAGGGGTGGGCACGGGTCGGTTCGGTTCGGTTCTAAAGAGAACCAAACCGAACCAAAATTTTCGGGTATCTAATAGATGGAACCGTCGGGTCCGAATATAATTATGGAACCGTTCGGGTTTGGTTCAGTTCGGTTCGATTCGGTTCGATTTGGTTCCCTTCAGTTCTGTACTATAATTAAATTTTTTAACATTTATAACAACATTATATAAATACAACTAATGATACATTCAATGGTTTTGGAATGTTAGAGACTAGTAGACTAACTTGTTCAAATGATCGCTACGGTCAAAGCTTCGGTCGACGGAGGTCACAACGTCGACCGACGATTGTATAGGTTTTGGAATGTTAGCGTGGCTATGAGAGCCAAGACAACGTTTTGCACTTTAGTATAGGTGTTTAAGGTTATTTAGTGGATTGGATTGTGTTGAGCTAAGAAATGAAACAATAAACTGGGTAATTGGGCCAAAAATTAAAAAATTAAAAACGAAACAAATTAGTGGGCCAAAATTTGGATTTAGAAATTGTTAATTTGTTTAGAAAAAATTAAAATTAAAATAATTTAATTTACTCAATATAAAAAAAATAGAAAGATTCGGTTCTTATTCGGTTCTTTAGTTCTTGGTCTAGAATCGAGAACCTAACTGTACCCATCGGTTCTCAATTCAGATACCCGTTTGGGTATTTAATTTGACAAGAACCATTGGGTTCTGTTAGGGAGATTTGCCCAGCCCTAACTGTATGGATGAATAGTATCGTACGGTGAACAGTAAAAAAAAATTTTCAACTTTTTTTTTGACTCACTGGATAGAAAATCCAATTACAAATCCGGCAAAACAAACAGAAGTTGGTTTAAATACCAAATCAGCCCAAAAACAACTTTTGAAATTTTAACAGGATTTAAACGGATCAAAGACTCAACAAAATTGACTGATCGAAAGAACACGAAAAACAATAAGGAAAAAAGTAACAACTGACTCAACAAAAATTAAAAAAAGGGATATAACCTTGATCTTGGTGCCTTAAGCTTTGATACCAAATAATGTGAACCCAATCAGTAAGGTTACAATCGAACCCAAAGGATATTGAATCGGATCCCAAGAATGCCCAAATATGACCAAGGTTTAGGATATAATCCCTAAATGTTGAACCAACAACCAAAGGTATATTAAACGAACGACCTCTTGATCACAAAGTCTTGAAATTACACCCGAATTGTGGATTTGAAACAATAAAAGATGAACCAAAAAACCCAACGATAACGATGACGCGAAAGACCCCTTGATTACACAATTCAATGATTCAACCTGATGTTTTGAACGCCACAAGATGATTAGTCTTGATAAGTTGCCCCATTCAATTTAATGAACAAGATAAATTTGAAGCAAAGCTTCAAGAAGAATTTTATTAATTCAACATATGATAAGTCTTGTACAATAATGAATTAAAGTTCCTATTTATACTAGAAATATAAAACCTAATTTTAAAAGGAATTAAATACTAGGAAATAATTTAAAAATGTACTAAATCTCCTAAAATATGGAAATTACCAAAGAGAATAGAATCCTAGATAAAATAGAAGATCTTGCGAATATGGAAAAATTCTATCTCGAAAAACCGTGGTGCGATCGCATGGGCAAAACTGGTGCGATCGCATGGTTCTACCGGATGCTGCTCCATTAGGCTCGAACCCCTTCTATGCAGCCGCATGGCTAGGAAGGTTGCACAACTTCATGTTTTGCCTCCGTTTTTTTCAGTTGTTCAACCAAGTTGTTCCAAATCTTTTTGGCTCCTGATCCCAACTTCAATCTTGAACTTTGGCTCGTTGACTTCATCAATTTCTCAAAATTTCTACCCCCCCTTGGATCACATCAGATTATCTACTATACAAATATTTTGACAAGGGAAACTTCAGACTCTTTGCTACCTGTCAACCATTTTGAAAACACCACATAGCAT